CCGGTATCCGGGGCTTTGCTCCAACTAATCCGGACCCGACCTGCATCGCGCACCTGGAGATGGTGGATGAGTCTCCCAACGGGGGCTGCTGCGTACAGTTCGAGACCTTACTTAAGCTGGAACAAGCCGTTTACCACTTGATCCAACCCCTCATTGGTGTGGATATTGCTCTTTACCAATAGCATAGCCACGTTTTTAAAATGGGCTACAACCAACATACTGACATAGAACCCTTCACTTTATAAAATTAGTAAGTTTTAACTCTTAATGTTATAATATGATACTTTTAATTTTTTATTTTATAAAATTAATAGGTTTTAACCCTCACCTTATATTTGTTGACTCAATGTACTCCAAGAGGGAGGATGAATTGAAATTCCAAAACTTCTTCCCTTTTTGCAAAAAGAGAGTAGAGAAGAATAGCTTGCTCAATAATTTATAGAGGTTCGGTCCAACCACTTGGAATCTCGTCCTCTACCTTGACTTCACTCACCGAGGATTTCTTCCACACTTTCCACTAACAACAAAAATGGTGGCTTAAAGGATCCACTCAATCCTTTTACAAGAAGATGAGTATTTCTCTCAAACCTCACCCCTTTACAATGTAAACCACACGAATCCTCTTAATAAATCACTCTTGAAGGAATAATCACACCCCCAATATCACTCACAAATAGAACAAGAAGAGGATTATATGTAAAAATCTCTCAAAGATCAAAAACTCAAGTTAAAACTCATGCAGGTAGGTAAAGATATTCAATACAATGCTCTCTTAACCTCCTTCAGATTTTCTACCAACCATATTTATAATCTCATGGTCGAAAATAGCCGTTATTAGCTGTTGGAGGTCATTTAATGTTCTGCAGGACGCAAAGCTCGAGTTGCAGGATTATTAGGAGAGCCGGCTTAGCTTCCTAGAGCCGACTCTGTACAGTCGGCTCACCATTTCTGCAGCCGGCTTTATGGGATTCTTGCACATTCTGTTTTTTTCCACAGCCGGATGCAAAGCCTAAAGCTGGCTTTAGGATTCCAACTTTAAACATATTAAATAATTTTCAAATAACTCGACCATTGTGCATTAAATGCATCCTCACAGCCAGCTACAAAGTGGGAGCCGGCTCTGCTTCGATTTTCCGTGCGCGCCAAAACAGCAGTTGAATTTCTGCCCTGTAGAGCCGACTCAACAAATTCTGCAGCCGGCTCTCTGCATATTTTTACCCTTTGAGCCCTTTTTAATGCAATTTCATTTTACTTACTTTGCAGTATATTGGCAATTTAACTACACACTTAAATAAATCAATTAGTCACTCAAATATGTTTTGTAATCATCAAAATCATAGGTACAACAATATTATGACACTTTTAACCTCTTATTTAAATGAATTGAAGAAAATATCCCTTATTTAACATTAAATTTTAATATTTTATTAGTTTTATTAGTTAACTGTCAGTTTTGTTAAATGATTACTGATGAGCTAAATTTATATACATATTAATAGGGAATTTTTACTTTGATATTATTGATATTTGGATGAGTTTTATGGGATTTTATTTGATTTTACATGATTTTCATTCTTTGTGTAGGAAAGGATTTAATTGGAAGAAATATTACTTTTTAGAAGTAAATTGAAGAGATCAAAGACTTGAGGATCAACTTGTGCAGAACCCAGAAGTCAGGAACCAGATCAGCCATTTTACCATTGAAGAAATTGCAAAAGAAGGCCAAAAACCCGACACGGGTGTAGTGTCGACACATTATCGGGGTGTCGACACCATGCGCTAAACGTCCAGAATCAGATTCTGTTTCCTATTTTGTGTCAACACGTAATCCGAACCATGCGCTAAACGTCCAGAATCAGATTCTGTTTCCTATTTTGTGTCAACACGTAATCTGAAGTGTCAGCACCACGCGATCAGCATCTAAAATTCAGTTTTCTATTCCTATTCAAAGTCTTACTTCTATTTCAATTAGGGTTTCTAAAATCCTATAAATACTCATCTAAATTCAGAATGAGTGGAGCTTTGGGAGGCTGGTGGCAGCCCTCTTTTGGGCACTCTTGAAGGTCAAGATAGAAGATCCATAAGATCAAGGATTGCAATTTTCTCAAATTAGGTTTTATTCTTCCTTGTTCATAACTATGATTGTATATTTTATTCTTTTTATTATGAACTGATTTATTCTACTAAGGCTACGATGTAGCCTAATCAATTCAATATAGATTTTGTGATTTTATATTTTTAATTAAAGTTATTTGCATGAGGAGTTTATATTATTGAACTTAATGCATTGGAAGCCTGATCATCTTTCAATTGATTTAGTGATTTATGCATGAACTTGAGAAAGAATTGCGTAGATTAGACCAA